AACTTGTCACCCATCACCAATTGAAGCAAGCTAGTCTTTGCGTTGTGGCTGGGAGAAGAAGGCATTTTTATCATGAATTGACATGGGAGTGATTGTCAGATATGAAAGTAATTAGAAATATTTATAATTATAAAAACTCAACCACTTTCTTCTAATGAACGAGTCACGGTTGAACAAATTGTTAGTCCAAGTATCTTTAGAATATGAAATTTGTCCATTGATGTCAATACGTAGTAGGTGGTATCGGATTTTCTCAGATTCTGGTGTTTTGAATTCAAGATATGTGCGTATATATACTCGTCAATAAAAGTGACAAATTGAATTGTGCCTGTGCGCTAATTGATTAGATCTTTGGTTTAGAAGCAGAAAATGGATAGATCATATTGCAATGCATGGAGCAGATGTTTTCCAGACAGAGGAAACAACAAAGCACACAGAAAGCCCGAAGCAACAATCCACACAGGAAATTAAAAGCAGTAAATCACCAATGAGAACATTGGCTTGGTCACTCAGAAGTTTTGCCTAATAGTCCTCGCCTTCTTCATCTTCTCCCTCAGCAGATTCAGCCCCGACTTCCTCATAGTCTTTCTCAAGAGCCGCCAAGTCCTCTCTAGCCTCAGAGAATTCTCCTTCTTCCATGCCCTCACCGACATACCAGTGCACAAAAGCACGCTTGGCATACATCAAGTCAAATTTATGATCGATCCTGGAGAACACCTCAGCAACACTAGTTGAATTAGAAATCATGCAAACGGCCCTCTGAACTTTAGCCAAGTCTCCACCAGGAACAACAGTTGGTGGCTGGTAGTTGATTCCACATTTGAAGCCAGTTGGGCACCAGTCCACAAACTGAATTGTCCTCTTGGTTTTGATTGTGGCAACTGCAGCATTCACATCCTTTGGCACCACATCACCTCTGTACATCAAACAGCACGCCATGTACTTCCCATGGCGCGGATCACATTTAACCATCATAGAAGATGGTTCAAATGCTGTATTTGTAATTTCAGCAACAGAGAGTTGCTCGTGATAGGCCTTTTCAGCAGAAATAACTGGGGCATACGAGGAAAGCATAAAGTGAATCCTTGGATATGGAACCAAGTTAGTCTGGAACTCATTCACATCCACATTCAGAGCTCCATCAAATCGCAGAGATGCAGTCAAAGAAGAAATCACCTGCAATTTGAAAGAAACAATAGTCATTAGAAATCAATAACTATACTAATGTAATACAAAACCAACAAAATCCATCAATTTTTCACCTGAGAAATGAGTCTATTCAGATTAGTATATGTTGGCCTCTCAATATCAAGCGACTTGCGGCAAATATCATAGATCGCCTCATTGTCAAGAAGCACGGCAACATCAGTGTGCTCCAACAGAGAGTGGGTCGAGAGAACAGAGTTGTATGGCTCAACCACAGCAGTCGAAACTTGTGGGGATGGGTAAATAGTGAACCCCAACTTTGATTTCTTACCATAATCAACAGAAAGCCTCTCGAGCAACAGAGATCCAAGTCCAGATCCAGTGCCCCCACCGACAGCATGGAACACCAGGAACCCTTGCAATCCAGTACAGTTATCCGCAAGCTTTCTGATCCTGTCCAGGCAGAGATCAACAATTTCTTTGCCGATCGTATAATGCCCTCTGGCAAAGTTGTTAGCGGCGTCCTCCTTACCACTGATAAGCTGTTCCGGATGGAAGAGTTGACGGTAGGTTCCAGTCCGGACCTCATCTATCACAGTAGGTTCCAGATCTACAAATACCGCGCGGGGAACGTGCTTTCCGGCACCCGTTTCACTGAAGAAGGTGTTAAATGCGTCATCTCCACCGCCGATTGTCTTGTCTCCGGGCATTTGCCCATCAGGCTACATCAATTTCCATCAACAATAACATAATCAAATCAAAAATCCATTGATTCATTAATTAACCAAAATAATCGATACAGATATTGAATCTCTACAAATTCCTGAAAGCAAACCTTAATCCCGTGCTCAAGGCAGTACAATTCCCAGCAGGCATTTCCGACTTGAATTCCGGCCTGACCAATGTGGATCGAAATGCACTCTCTCATTTTCGCTTACTTTTGTTTGGCGTGAAATTGAAATTAGAAAGAGGGCAAGAGAAATGGACAGAGGCGTATACGAAGACGGCCCTGCGAAATATAGATCTGAGTGAAAATATGATGAGGAATGGTAGAAAGGGGGTATTTATATTTGCTTGGTGGCAATTGGGTAATTTTCAAAAAAGTAAAAAATATTTTTAAATTAAAATATTTTACAGCTGTCGTTCATGACCGTTGCCGCTTTATCCACTTTGAAATTTGAACTGTTCGGGTTTTGGAGGGAAACCACGTTTAGGGTTTCGTAATGGGCCAAACCATCGTGGATATGGAAATAGATAGTAGACGATTTAGTGACAAATGGCAGGGTGACCCGACCAATTTACCCAAAAGGCCTTTGGCCCATAACAGTCCAAAAAATATAACAACAGTAAAAAACAATTATCCAATATGTCCTATAACATACGTTGGTGTATTTGGGATAAATAATGATATTTTTTAATTTTTTTT